GGGAGCTTCTGGTCTTGACTCAGGAGTCCAGCAAAAATTCCATAAAGGGGGGGAGTTAGGAGAAGAAGGGTTGTGTATCTCTCACAAGTGGAGAGTTAATTTTGTCTTTTGGAGAGAGGGAAGGGATTTCCCCCCAGAGGCCAAATATAGCCTGCTTGAGGGTGAGAGAGGAAAGCTGCTTAGCAATTTATTTACTTAAAAGGGGGGGAAATGGGGGGGTGGGGGGGGGAATGGAGGATGGAAAGGACTAGTCCCAGGCTGAAAGGCATGGTCTGTATAAAGGATCAGGAGCAGTGTGGGGGAGAGCACAGAGGACAACGGGGGGTTGGGGAGTGAGAAGAGGTACACAGGCCTGGGGGGGGCAAGGTGGGGATCTGGGGCTTTGGCCCATGAACCTGGGGAAGCCTGAAGAGATGTAGGTGGAGGAGTGACAGGACTGGATTTGGGTTTTGGAAAGCATCCCCCTGCTGCTGTGTGGCCAGGACTGTAGGGTGGGAAGAGTGGAAAACGACTGACAAGCCCCGCACTCTGGGGCCTCCCTGTCTTTAACCTGATGTCCAACCCCCCTTCTTGTTCACCCTGCTCCAGCTGCGGGGCCTCCATGCCATTCTGCACACACGCCAGGCACTCTCCCGCCCCAGAAGTTCGCACTGCCTCCGGCTGGAATGCTTTCCCTCCTCCAAGTTTGCTTTTTCTCAAATGCCCCTTAGTGAAGCCTTCCCTGACCACCCAACGTAAGACTGTAACGTGGCCCTAACACTGCCTCCCTGTGTCCTTTCCCACTTTGTCATCATCTTCTCACATGCCCAATAATGTATTTATTTAGTTAGTTTACTATCTCCTCCATTACAGATGTAAGTCCCGCAAGGACAAATATTTTTGCCAGTTCTGTTTACTCCTACATCCCCAGGACCCAGAACAGTGCCGGACACACAGTAAGCACTCCATAAATGCTTGCTGAATGGAACTAAAGCAGGGAGACCAGTTAGGAAACGTCTTGGCATCCTCCAGGGGAGTAGGGAGGTGGGAGTGGAGGAGAAGCAGATGAATTCTAAAGGTAATTAGGACGTCAAACTTATGAGACCTGATGACAAAAGTTGGTACCAAAGTCCACCTTGCCACAGGCTGACAGGGGTCAAAAAGACAAGCGAGGCCAATAGAATTCTGGCTCAGGAGTCTGAAATGAGAGTCACCAGGACATTGTTAGGTGGGGTTGAAGGCTGAGGTGGAGACACTGTGAGAGCTGGAGCTGTTCCAGAGCGGAGCCCAGCTGAGCTGAAGTCATGAGTGAGTAGAGGGGATGGGGCGACTGGGAGGCAGGGGAACCTCACAACTCCGGCTCTAGTGGGTATGTGCTCTCACAGCGATGGTCCTTAACCTCTTCTGGGTCCGCATCAGCCCCCCACCCAGATCCGGTGGAAACTATGGATCCTTTCCTGGGTGAAACCCCTGACTGCAAATGGTGTAAAATTCTGCATTTGTTGTTAGGGTGTTTCTCATGGACCCCTGATGCCCATCTGTGGAGCGCAGGGTGATATCACCTGCTTTATTAAAAAAACAAAACGATTGTTTTGAGATAACCCAAGTGGCTACCACCCCTTCTGTTCCCCCATTTTGAGTCTTCCTACTCTTTAATCCCTGCCTTTCTCCCTTTCCTTCTCTGCCCTCAGTTTTGGACCCTAGTTCTTAAGCTCCTCCTCCTCCACCAAGTCCTCTCCTGGGATTTCATCCTTTATCTTCACGATCACACCCCATCCTTACTCAAGAATGTGGGACTGAGGCTGGTCTAGAACCCATGCCTTCCATCCAGATCTCTCTCACATTCTACTTCCCAGGCCGAAGCAGCCACATCCGTGAGCATTTGCTCTGTGCCAGGTTCTCGTTAGTGTTGGCCTTTCTGATCTTACTTCAAAAACCCACTTTACAGATGAGGAAGTGAGATAGATACGGGAGGTGAAGTGACCTGCCCAAGGTCAACCAGTTGGTGAGTAGCAGGGCTGAGACTGAGGTGGCCTCAATCCAAAGACAAACGAGTACACCATCCCAGTTCCCGCCTGGGCTCTGAACATTTTCCGGGGGCAGTTAGGAAGGGAGGACCAGGATTGGTTACCGTGGAACTACACAAAAATTTAGTCTCGTCCCTCTTAGTCCTCATCTGATGAAGACATTGAGGCTAAGAGAGGGAAAGCAACTCTCAAAGATCTTGGTAACACCACTAGGAACACCCCGGCCTGCCCTCCCCTCTCAGGTGGGTGCCCACTCCCCTCCTGGCCCCCCCACACTCCTACCTGATGTCCCCTCACCTCTGGTCCTCCTCAGGAGTGTTGGCTGACAACAATGACATGACCATGGACTTGCCTGTCCCCTGGAGGCCCAGGACACCAACCACCAACACATCAGTCTGATCCAGCAGGTACTGTGGGAGATGCAGGAATACAGCCCTTATGAATCTGTCAGCTGCTAGAGTGGGAATGAGATGAAGGAGCCCCAGACTTCCATGGCTTGCCCACCTGTCTTATCAGGTATGAAGAAAAAGATTCTTGCCTCAATTGGGCAAAGGGCCTCTGTGTGTGTGTGTGTGTGTGTGTGTGTGTGTGTGTGTGTGCACGCGCGCATTGGGATACATAGAATATTTGGGGCACAATGAACAGCATATGTGAGAATTCCAAAGTAGAAAAGAGCCTGGCCTGGTCACGAAGCTAATAGGAACTCAGTGGGAAAAAGGGAAGCTTGGCCTTTGGGAAGAGAAGGGGAAGAACAGGAACGGAAGGACAGGTTCAAGGTAACCGAGGGCTATCAGAGCTGACTCCTGGGAGGCGCTCTGCGCAGTCAGGCTGGGAAAACACGGGAAGGAAGCACGAGAAAGGGAGCAGTGTGCAGAAACAGGAGGTCAGTCCGTCCTGGCTCTTTCTGTGGGATTCAGTCCTGGAAATTCATGAGACCTTCACCTCTGGGCCAACTCTGCTGACTTTCACCACCAGGGGGCACAAGAGACATTACTCAAGGAAAAGGAATAAAATAGAGCAGGTCCTTGAGAAGCATAATTTTGTTATAAGGTTAATGAGAAAGAAAAAAATAAATAAATTCCCAGCAAGGGTCACTATCTGAGTGGAGTTTGTATGTTTTCTGCATGTCTGCATGGGTTTTTTATGAGGACTCTGGTTTCCTCCCACACCCCAGGGGTGTGCACATTAGGTGAACTGGCGTGTGAGTGTGAGTGGCCCTTCGATGGCAGGGCTCCTGTCCGGGGTGGGTTCTCACCTTGAGCCTGAGCTGCAGGAGTAGTCTCACCTTGAACTGGATGGAATAAGTGGGTTGGAAAATAAATATCTGACTTGTTTTTATTAATCTTTGGGTTCCTTAAGATTAATAAAGCATTTATTTCAATGTTTAATATTAGAAGTGTTTTGGGTCTTTATTTAGAAATTTGGTGATGTTTCTGTGACCAGAAATATGCCATAGGCACTTAACTCTTGTTCATATCAATTAGGCCGTGGTCGGCAAACTGTGGCTCGCGAGCCACATTCGGCTCTTTGGCCCCTTGAGTGTGGCTCTTCCTAAGCCTTAGGAGTACCCTAATTAAGTTAATAACAATGTACCTACCTATATAGTTTAAGTTTAAAAAATTTGGCTCTCAAAAGAAATTTCAATCGTTGTACTGCTGATATTTGGCTCTGTTGACTAATGAGTTTGCCGACCACCGGCCTAGGGTAAAATCGGTTTCATCATACGTCATTATGCTTAAAGTCGCAGTTTCCAAGACCCTATCAAGGATGTTAAGTGAGGATTCACTGTATGTCCTCAACTGTGGCTGCTGCTCCTTAGAATCACCTGGAGAGCTTTTTTTTTTTTTAAAAAGGCAGCTAATCCTTGGCCTAACTCTGAACACATGAAAGCAGCACATCTAGGGCTAGCCCTGTCCACTGACCACATGTAGCTATTTAAATTAAAATTAAACACAATTTAAAAATCCAATGCCTCAGCTGTACTAGCCACAAATTGTGACATGTGGATAAGTGCTCAATATTCACATACAAGAATAATGGCTACCATACTAGATAACACAAATACAGAACATCTTTACAATGCTAAAGAATAGGGCCTGCCCTAACCGGTTTGGCTCAGTGGATAGAGCGTCAGCCTGTGGACTGAAGGGTCCCAGGATCGATTCCGGTCAAGGGCATGTACCTTGGTTGCGGGCACATCCCCAGTAGGAGGTGTGCAGGAGGCAGCTGATCGATGTTCTCTCATCGATGTTTCTAACTCTCTATCCCTCTCCCTTCCTCTCTGTAAAAAATCAATAAAATATATTAAAAAAAAAAAAAAAAAGAATAGGGCCTGAACATGGCTCCTTTTTATTTTTTTAGAGTGGAAGGGAGGAAGAGAGATAGAGAGAAACATTGATGTGAGAGAGACACATTGATTGGTTGCCTCCACATGACCCCCAATCAGGGCCGGGGATCGAGCCTGCAACTGAGGTATGTGCCCTTGACTGGAATTGAACCCAGGACCCTTCAGTCTGCAGGCTGACACTCTGTCCACTGAGCAAACCGGCTAGGACTGCCTCCTTAAACAAAACAAAACAAAACAAAAAAACACCAAACACTCCCCAGTTGATATCAATGTGAGAGAGGACACACAGAGGCAGCAGAGCCAGGTAACAGGTGGGCCTGGCATGTTGTCCCAATAAGTCCAAGCTGTTGGGGAAGGAGGGGGCACACCAGGGTGAATTTGACTAGGAGCCTGATCTGACAGGTCTGGGGATGGGGGGAGAGCAGCACAAGAGGTGAAATGAAGACTTGGAGACTGGAGGTAGGTATGTCAGTCCAGGAATGGGAGGTCATCCTAGAGCAGGGGCGCTGGGATGGAGGGGGAACCTCTGGGGAGTGATACTCAAACCAGCTCACACTGGCACAACAAGTGCTCCCACCAATTAGGAGGGAGACTGAAGCAGGGTCCAGGAGACCACCCTGCTGTGGGAGGGCGCAGGAGACCCTCAGGCATCTGGGTGGCAGTGGGAGCACCTCTTAGCCAACCAGTATGAAAGTGGTTCAGTACTTTACCAACAGTACAGCTGAGCTAGTGAAGCTACTGAAACGCAGCCCTGGCCGGTGAGAGCTTTCAGATCCATTTCCTCTCATGGCTGCAACTGCCTGAAAGCTTGTCTGGTGTAGCCCACCAAGAGGCTGGAGGTATGGGGTGACGGAGGCGAGGCTGTGGGATCTGGGAAAACTCAAGCACGGAGAGACCCATTCCCCCAGTACCTCAATGGCACTGTCGCACCAATTCATCTGGTCATCCACCAACTTGATGCTGTGCTTCATGCGCTCTGGAGGCAGCAGCTTGGCCTGGCCCACGACAGCTGGAAACAAAGCAGGAGACAGAGGATGCAGTGAGGGTCTGTGTGAGGGGGTGCCAGCTCCCAACCAGATTCTCTTCAGTCCCAACTCACGGTCCATAACTGCTGGCGCGGCCGTGCCCATGCCCCGGTTCTGGATCTGGTACACAGGCTGTGTGGGTCTCTGCCCCTCCTTCTCCCCCTTGGGTAGCACGGGGGCTGCAGGGGGTGGTGGGGTGGTGCCCTCAGGGGCCGAGGCATTTGTTGCAGCCGCAGGCCCTTTGCCCTCCTCCCGTGGTTTCATGAGGACGATGGGCTTCTCAAGAGGGGCTGGGGCAGGTGGGGCAGCAGGGGCTGCTGGAGGTGGTGGCTGCTTTGACTATGAGTGAGGAGGTTCCAGTCAGTGGGAGAGATCCTTGACCCAATTACTCCCAGCCTCCCCCTCCCAAGATTCTTCCCTGCTCACCCGCTCTGCTGGAGGTTTGGAGAGGATGATGGGGGTTTTCTGCATGATGGAGGCACTTGTCTCTTCGCTGCCATCCTGTGGTGAGGGAGGGAAGAAACTCCACTGGCTCTTCTAGACACTACTCTGAAAGCCTTTATGTGCCAGGTACTATTCTAAATGCTTTCATACATTAACTCCCTCAACCCTACCAACAATCCTGTGAGATACATACTATTACTTTTAAAAAATATTTAATTGATTTCAGAGAGGAAGGGAGAGGAAGAGACAGAAACATCAATGATGAGAATCATTGTTCGGCTGCCTCCTGCACGCCCCACACTGGGGATTCCCGGCATGTGCCCTGGCCGGGAATCAAACCTCCTGGTTTGTAGGCTAATGCTCAACCACTGAGCCACGCTGGTCTGGCAGATACATACTATTATTATCTCCACTTTACAAATAAGCAATTGAGGCAGATAGGTTAACTGGCTAGTCACACAGCCTTATAAGCAATGGAGGCAAAATTGAACCCAGGCAGCCTGACTCCAGAACCCATGTTGCCAACAGCTCTGTGCAGCTACCTCTGCTAGACAAGCCCCGGGAGAAGGAGCAAGGACTCTGGAGCTAGACCAGGGATGGCGAGCCTTTTGAGCTCGGCGTGTCAGCATTTTGAAAAACCCTAACTTAACTCTGGTGCTGTGTCACATATAGAAATTTTTTTGATATTTGCAACCACAGTAAAACAAAGACTTACATTTTTGATATTTTTTTTTATATATTTAAATGCCATTTAACAAAGAAAAATCAACCAAAAAAATGAGTTCGCGTGTCACCTCTGACACGCGTGTCATAGGTTCGCCATCACTGAGCTAGACAGATCTTGGTTCAGACCTAGCCCTGCCACTTGTGAGCTGTATGAAGTTGGATGAGGAACCACCCTCACTTAGGCCTGTTTCCTCCTGGTGAGTCTATTATATAAGAATCTGAAAGAAGACAGAATTCAACTGTCCATGTGGCATCTGACACACGGCAGGTGCTCACCACCTGAGTGTGGCTGGTAGCACCTGCTACTCTGACCCTCTTCTCCTCAGCCCTGCTCTTGTGCTGGCCAAGCCCATGGACTGATTCCCACATCTTGCCCTCTCTGTGCCTCTTCTGATTCACCCCAATCTGCTTGAGAAAAGAGAGATGTGAGTTTGAGTCCTATTCTTTCTCTGGTTTCTTGATTAAACTCGGGAGAATCTTGACCCCTCACTGGGTCTGTTTCTTCTGCCACATACTGAAGATTACTTAAACTCCCTCAATGCTCTCTTCACTGGCCACTGGTGAAGAAAAAAACAAAAGGATGATATGCAAGTGCTCTGGAAAGACAGTTGCAAGAGAACTGTTGGAGGAAAGGCTGTGGGCTTCCAGGAGGCCAGGGAGGGTGACAGGTGAGAAGGTTCAGGAAGGAGTTGATGATACATGGGACTGAGGCTGTGAGGGTGGAGAGATGATGATGGATAGGAGATATATTCAGGAGGCACAATGTGCAGCACTGGTGCCTGACTGGCGTAGGGTTGGGAGGCAGGTGTCCAGGATGAGGCCCAGTGGGTTGTCATTGATACTAGGAGGAGAAATGGCAGAAGATGCTGAGATCAGCAGGGGACATGAAGGTTGTGAGGAGTCCACTGGCCAGTTAGGAGGCTGTCAGGGCTCAGTAGTCAAGTCAGAGACAAAGCAAAGATTTGGGAGTTGTTTGTTCAGGATGTGAAGGTG